ATGAGAAGAGCATGTGAATTTCACCTATCAAGCGCTGTGTGCTGTAAAATTGTCACAATGAGGTGTAAACATTTCTTTGCGCAATGCAAATGGTCTCCTTAAGTAATGCTTTTGTAAAAATTGCATAAGAATTCAAAGAGAAGGAGGAGGAGGTGGTGGAGAGGAGTTACAAGGAGAAGGGCCAGAGGTTGCTACTACCTTAGAGAGGATACTGGTGTCGGTTTTTTCGTCAATTCTCTCGTAGAAGAGGATGTAGGCGGTCGGTTGAATGACATCCTTTTTTGGATCAGGAACGAGGGAGACACTGAAAGGGAGAGGAAGCAATCGAGGCATTGACACTACAGACGGAAAGAGGTGGAGACAGATAAGGATACACAATAAAATCGCTCCGAGATGTACTCGCTCCTGTATTGTTATGAGATGACGGCCAAAGTATAGGGTGGAAGCGTGGTTGTCAGGTCGGAAGACACACGGTCACACGGAAAACGTAAGGTAAAAAAATGAGCACGGTGAAGACGAGAGCTCCCTACTCGATTTGAATAGATGATCGAAATATCGAGATTGACAAGATGAAGAAATTGTGGCTACCGATCTGAGACACCCACAAGAGGCGAGCAGAAACCACTGTGATGTACGTATGGACTGGAGAAGTCACTCACTCCCATCCATGGTTGATTACATCGAGATCGTTTCAACGCCTCATGCATTGATACGATGCATGAATGCATGAGGAGTAAATATTGGCAACTTCCACAATCATTGTGGGTTTTGTTAACCTCCTTTTGTCACCATTAACTTCGCGCGCACGCACGCACGCACGCACGCACGCACGCACGCACACACAAGAGAGGGGGAAATGAGAAACGGCATTTGGACTCGCAAAAAAGTGCAGAGAATGCATTAAATGTATCAAATAAAGTGAAATTGACAAACATGAAATAACGAAATACGCTACATACAGAAGCATAATGAGTTGCCAAATAAAATTATTGTAAGGTATGCAAATTCAAATCTGCTTCACTCTGACAATCCAAGTGTCCTCTTTGGACTCAGTGGAGTTAACACGATT